CGGAACGGATTAAGTTCGTATCCCGAGGTACCACTGTATTTATATTAAAGGAAAAGACGGCATCGGTGGCCCTTGTAAGATACAAAACTATTCCGCAAACAACCCTCTGCTGGGAGAAGAAGAGACTAGAAATAAACTTAAGTGTCCTTAAATAGATGTTTTAGCAGAAACCTTGAGCAAGATTTTAGTTATTTTTATTTATTGCCAAAGATATCTTAGGGGAAAAAAAATCATGTTTCTGAACCAATAAACCAGTTACGGTGTAGGATCCAGGGCCTGCATGGCTGCTTGTCTTATCCATACAACTGCCTTAAAATCAAGTTCAGAACTCTTCCTTAAAGATTTAGCTTTGGCCAAAGGGAGTTTTTCTTCCAACAAAAATGAGTAATACTTTCCAAAGATATTTTCCACATCCGCCTTGTGGGACTAATTCCCTATGTCCTGAATTCAAGATTATATTGTAACTTGTTGTGAAGTACGTTGTGCTCCGGGGGTTTGTTTTCTGACATGGGTGAACTTTTAAAGGTACAAATAGATGTAGGATTGTGTAGCTGCTCTTTCTTGTTACAAAGACCAGTCACATGCTGTCATGCTCAGAAATCCTGGCAAGATAACTTGAGGCTGCATCCTGCGTTATATGAATGATTCTTCTTTTTCTTTTCTGTGGTCTGGATGGTATCTAATCCCTAGCACAGATCTGAGTGATAAACAGATTACAGGCAGGGAAGATTCTGTTCTGTGGGTAAAGGCCGTTGTGTTCCCGGATACCATTCCTGGTACCCTCCAGATATTTTGGATATCTTTCATCATCTGACCAAGAGCTTAATTCTGTTACTTAAGCCCTGTCTTTGTAAACATCCCGTCTCTTCCGTGATGGAAAAACATTTCTTTTGCTACTACCAAGCTTGCTTTTTAATTACACTGGCACAGTCTACAAATAGTTGTGCCCACAAACTAAATGAATACAAATATCTGAGCTATTAACATTCTACGAGATACTTAAGATTATTAAGCATTAAATTGCTGGCTCCTCTTTTTAAACTATAAGCTTTTTGCTTTTAACCCTGACGTTAAATTACAAAAAATGGGAACTGTCAACACAACCGTAAGTTTTGTTCTTTCAGGTCACGTCCTTCATAGAGATAAAAGGAGCAAAAATGTCCTGCTCTGTCCTGCTGGTCAGGTGTAGGAGGCAGCTTCAGCTACTTTTGTGTTGGATTTTTATTGCATTTTTTGTTACTCCATTATATTATTATGTCTTGTTTGTTTCTAGCTTTTCTTTCAATCTGTACAAAGTAACTGGACAATTTCCTTGGAGTTCCCTTCGTGAAACTGACAGAGGAATATCAACCGAAGTCAATGTAGGTAAAATAGCACCTCTCGTCTGCTAGCTGGTGGAGAACGATGAGTGCTGGGATGGCCCAGTGCTTTGGGCTGGATTTTAGAAAAGTGGTTTAGAGTTAGTGACAAACACCTGTCTGCAGCTCCTTAAAGCGGCTGTTTCTTTTTCTGAGATTCTGACCCTGGGAAAAGACGCAGCCTTTTTAAAGAGTAGAGGGCAGATGCTACATTTGTGTTCCCGTGGGCTCTGAAGCACCAGTTTGGTGCTGCACAGCCCTAATGTCACAGCTTCCCTGGTGACTGTCCTGCCTGCTGCCTGTCCCACATCAGGTTCTCTTCGCTGAGCTTTTGGCAGATTGCAGAGAATCCCGCAGAGAGCTGCGCTTCGTGTTAGATGTGACCGACAGCATTTCCTGCTTCTGTATAATTTCATTTTTTGCTGCTGTGTTGCAACAAATTGGGATGGGGTTAGGCAATGACGGCTGATCTTCTCACTGATCCTCGCACCTGCGCAGTTTTCTGAAATTAGCAAATTGTGGCTTGTTTCTCAACATTTCGTTTTGAGGGGAGCTCCTAGAGTTGGCTGATATCTGCTCTTCATAAATGAAGTCATCCTGTGGCCCCATCGGTGGTGGGAGGCTGGTGCTTGATCTCACAGCAACTAGTAGTCCATCGCGGAGACTCGTCTGAGCGATCTTGTACCTGAAGCACAGAACGGCAAGCTTGTTTGCCATCTTTTATGGAATCAGCGCCCCTAGGTTTCAGATTAAAAACACAGCATTAGCAGCATCTTCTGCATTTCGTTGGTTCTGCTAGATCCTCAGCGGCTGCGTCAGTAAATGCACTGGCTGAGATCACACATCGCACTCAGCCATGATGTGTTTGCATTGTGTGATCTTGTCTCTTGGGATTCATAACCCACATCTTCCACAGAAAATAGGTGTTCCCCAAAATACTTTACCAGTACCCAATTCCTTGAATTCATTGCAATGCCCCCTTGCCAGTTCAAGAGGGGCATTCGTCTCCTTTTTTTGCAGTGGGCTTTGTGGTGAGTTCTGAACTGCCCAGAGCAGCCCCTCAACCAGATTGACCCGATTTCTGTCTTGAGGTTGAAGCTAATAAACGCAACAGAACTGTATTTGCATTGTCTCTTG